TTTTTTTTTTTTTTTTAAATACAGTGTAGACTCTAGAATCGTACTTCCTGATTTCAGATATTTGTTATAAAATTAAATATACTCTAACTTTGGGAAAGTAACTTTTTAATCTTTTGTTAAACCTCAGAATATTGATAGGAGAATGAAATGAGATGATCCGTTAAAGCACTTAGTGTGGTATTTAGTAAATACTCAGTGGCAGCTAATAGTAGAAATAATAGTTACAGCAATTTTATTTGTAGCAGTGGTGGTGATAGTAGAGGAGAGTAGTATTACTGGCTGTAGAGTTGAGGATACCACACACAGGTAGACTTTTAGTAGTCAAGTTTGGGACATTTTACAAGAAATAACATGAAGAAGAGCATCTAATCTTTGGATGATCAGAACATTATGTTAGGTTATTAAGTGTTTTGAAGTTGCAAACTAGGTCCCTGGGGTAGCTAGATAAAGCATTTTAATCTATTTGTGACTAGGCAGGAGAAAGAACATTGACATTGTCTCTTTTGACAGTCTTAAAACTTACTTCTCTTTTGGGGGGCCGGGATTGTGGCTCAGCAATAGAGGGCTCGCCTCGTACGTGCGAGACCCTGGGTTTAATCCTCAGCACCACATAAAAATAAATAAGTGAAATAAAAGTATTGTGTCCAACTACAACTAAAAAATAAATAAAACTTACCTCTTTTTAAATTGAAATTTTACTAAAAAGTCATTTGGAATGAATCAGTCTCTTTCTCCATCATTAAAACTTACCTCTTTTTGAAACCCTTCTTCTCCAGTTGAAGTTAAGGGAGAGAGTGGGGGCCACCAAAAATAGTTCTCTTTTAACTTTATGCCCTTTTTCCTTCTCTCTTTAATTATTTTCCAAGAAGGGTTTTTAACCCCTTGAACTTTATTAATTTACAACCATTATCAAGTTTTAGTTTCTTCATTTACAAATAGGAAGTGAGTTTTTCTGACTAAAATTAGGATTTCAAGACTACTTAGTTCCTCTAAGTACCAGTAGAGGGAGTTTATCCATATATTTGGAGTTTTTAAATTTTTTTATTTTTTATTTTTTGCAGTCCTGGAGATTGAACCCAGGGAATTGAGTATGCTAGGCAAGTGTTCTACTACTAAGCTAAGCCTCCAGTTCTTATCCATATATATATAAATATTTTTTTTCTTCCCCTAATGAATCCAAGTTTTTAACTACATAAAATTGAAATCATGTGTGTACTTAAAAGTATACATTTTCACATGTAAATTAATTTATTTTGACTTAGAAATGATTCGTATTTTTTAATCTTAAATATAGCCATTTACCAAAAATCACTTCTCTTTTACACATAATTAAAATCTATTAATTAGCTGTCTTTTGGAGATGAATGTTTATTATCAAATGTCAACTTTTAAGATCTTTTTAGTTTTAATTTATAAATCCTGAAATGATATTTGAAAAATGCTGTCCTTTAGCTTGTTTACTTTTTAAATTGTTTTTCTTTTAGTTGTAGATGGACATAATATCTTTATTTTTATTTATTTATTTTTATGTGGTACTGAGGATTGAACCCAGTGCCTCACATGTGTTAGGTGAGCACTCTGCCACTGAGTTACAGCCCTAGCCCCTAGCTTGTTTACTTTATTTATTTATTTTGGTCCTGGGGATTGAACCCAAAGGTGTTTTACACTGAGCTATATCCACAGCTCTTTTTATTTTTTGAGACAAGTTCTGACTAAGTTGCTTAGGGGCTTACTATGTTGCTGGGGCTTTGAACTTTTGATCCTACTGTCTCAGCCTACTGAGTTGTTGGGATTACAGGTGTGGGCCACCATGCCTGGCTTACTTGTTTACTTTAAAGTGAGAAATTTAGTTATCATATATGTCTTACTAATAAACTTTGATAATACAATTACTTAACAATGTAATTAAGCAAGGTCTTGCAACTTTTGTCTTTGTAGTACCAGGTGAAATAATAATTACATTTATAGCTTAGTCTTTTTTATTCTTGACTAGTTATATGTGTGAGAGTCTTTAATCAGATTTTAATCTTAAGGATGAAGGAATATTTCCTTTTGGCATATATCATCAATATAACCTATTGAGTAGTACTAGTTGCTGGGAGTATAAAAAAGTAAAACATAGTTTCAGAGCTTGCAATATACATTATCTTGAAGCTAGTGCAGCACTTAAATGGTTTGTAAATAACATTTCAAAGGTTGAGTTTCTTATTTCTAAAGATGTTTTGGTTTGCTTTTTGTCCATAAATTGTGTTTTATGGATAAATTATGAGTCGTATATTGTAATTGAATTTTATTGTCACTCTGAGAGGTTATTAATTAGTCAAGCATATTTTCTTCTGGAATCCTCTTCTGACATACTTTGATTAGCTGTCTGAATTAGAATCAGGAGGAAGACAAAATTCTTAAGTATCCCAGGTGCCAGCCATTTCCTATTTATCATGTAAAAGGTTTGGTGGAGGAGGATGCTTTGCCACTGGAGAGAAAGCATGTTCAACAAATTTCAGCTTCCTAGAGCTAGGCAAACTTGGAATAAACTGCAAAAAGAATGTATTGATTCTTTTTTTTTTTTTTGAATTTTTTAATGTTTTATTTTTTAGTTTTCGGCGGACACAACACCTTGTTTGTATGTGGTGCTGAAGATTGAACCCAGGCCGCAAGCATGCCAGGCGAGCGTGCTACCGCTTGAGCCACATCTCCAGCCCCAATTTATTGATTTCTTTTGGTTAGAGCTTTAAACTTTCATAGTAAGGATGGATCATAGTATAGCTAATAGTCAAAGTGTTGCAATTGCTTTTTTAAAATCTATTTTCAAAATATATTTGATATGTAGCTAAAAGTTTTAGATGTTACATATGGCACTTAATGCTAACCATATATGTACAGTTCTCAACTTTGACTTTTTGGCTACAGTTGTGTATTTTTTTAGCTTTATAAAGAAATAAACTTTTTATCTTTTCATATTTCAGTATTATTTTCCTACTATAAATTATGTACTAGCTCTTTTTCGTTTTTCTTTTCTATTTTTGGTACTGGAGATTGGAACTCTGGGCCTCTTGCACACTAAGCACATGCCCTACCACTGAGCCATACTCCCATCCCCTGTAAAAGATATGAACTCTGTATTTTTGGACTCATGTCCAGTAATTACACATTCAATCCAGGAAAGAAGGTTTTAAGGTTTACTTACATTGAGGCTTTGGCTGTGGCTCAGTGGTAGCACACTTGCCTAGCATGTGTGAGGCACTGGGTTTAATTCTCAGCACCACATATAAATAAATAAAATAAAGGCCTATCAACAACCAAAAAAATATTTAAAAAAAAAAGATTTACCTACATTGACAGAATTTAAAATTTACTCATTCACAATAATATCAACAAAAGAATATCCAAAGAAGAGTTCCCTAAAACTTTCTTTGGATTAGTGTTTAAGTGTAGAAGTTAAATCATATGTAATACTTCATAGCCACACATCTCTTAATTGGTCTGCCACATCAGTAAGAGTATTTTTTGGCAAATATGATATAATAAAATTATGACATTTTTATGCTGAAATGTATGTGATGGTGCATTTGGTCAGTAATTAGAATTTATGAAGTCTAAGTAAATATTGTTCGAAAATAACGAATCATTGACTATGTCATTTCTGAATTTAAACCAGAAGTAAAATTTGCAAATGATGTGGTTTAATAGAAAAACCTGAATAAGGTTGTCCATTAAAAGAGCTTGGATAGATTGGTATCATTTTACTGATAGTAATAACAATTTACTGTACTGCAGAAATGATTCAAGAAGAAAAATAACCTACAGTGAGTGTGGCTGTTTACCTTTGTGCAGGCAATTGGCGAAGTTATTCTGCCCCACCCACCTACTTTTTTTTTTTTTTTGTTAAAGGAAGGAGAGTCTTGCTATGTTGCCTACAGTGGCCTCAAACCCTGGGCTCAAGTAGTCCTTCGGCCTCAGTCTCTGGAGTAGCTGGGACTACAGACATGCATGATTGTGCTTGGCTACTATGATTTTAATATTGATGCTTTGATGAAGTACTTACGTATGTATAGGAATGTCACAGTATAAGATGCTGCTACCCCAGGCACAAAGTGTTAACATAAAATTATTTTGCAAAGATCAGTGGTTTTATTAAACCTGTTGTAATGTTATACCTCAAAAACGAAACAAAAACTCTGAGATAATGTTTGTATGAGCACAGATATGTTTTCTCATCTGTAAAATAACAAGGTATATCAGATGGGCTATAATGTCTTCTAACGTGAACTTTTAAAACTTTTTTATGTGGGATAACTAAGTAGGACAAGCTATAGTAGCTGAAAATAATTTGATTTTCTTTTCTTTACAGTTTGAATTATTTTATAGCCAGCATTTCAGTGGAAGGAAACTCACATGGTTACATTATCTCTGTACAGGTAAACTGCATTTAATTATAATTAGTTTTTCATAACAATGCTGTTTATAATGTTGCTGCTTTTAAAGGAAGTTTTTAAATTTCATAACAATTTATTACATTTCTATAGCCAACCACTTTTTATAGGCATTGGGAAATTTATTTAGAAACATAGACTTGATGGGTCATACAGATACTCCTAAGAAATCTATTTTGTTAGTATACCAGGATCCTTAGAAATTTCAGTAACTATTCTAGCACCATAAGGAGATCTGGTTATTTACTTGTTAAACTGTAGTGGACTGCAGTAAAAAAATGCTTTTTTGAATGTCTCAATTAATTTTCAATAGATTCCAGTTTAAGAAAACTTTATTCACTATTTAATAATTTTCTTTGCTTCTTTTTGGAACAATAAGGGCTGGCTTATTTATGGTAGGGTTAATATCTGTATGACTGAGCATTTTGTGCAGTTGTGCTAAGTTGCCTAAAGATTTAGCCAAAGCAAACATTCAGAATTTCTTTTTGACAAACTATGCTTTGAAATGTGCAATGACTCAACTTTCCCTCTATATGAAAATGGGGAATGTGTTAATCTCTTAAGAAATGGTGCAAGGAAATCTGATCATCTGCCATAATCTTCATTAGAAAACTTTTCTCCTCTTGCCTAAGAGAGATTGCATCTAAGTTACCATGTAACTTACTATTTGTTTGACTAATTTATACCTTGGAATATGATGACTCATTATGTTAGTAACACATATTGCATTATCTACACAATTTTATTGAACAAATTGAACATTCTAAGTTTTTAGTACACTTAAATAAAAAGCTGTTTCTCGATGTTTCTTCATAAGTGGTCACGTGATAGTTGACTATTTTACATATTTTGAATTTTTTTTATTCTCATTTAGTAAACATAATTCATTCTAAAGAAAAATTTTACTTTTACTGTTCTAGATTTTGTTTTCTAAGAAAACTAATATATTTCAATGTAACTGAATTTAGTTTGCTTTTATGTCCCCTGAATATTTGTCTTGTAGAATTGAAGCTCTCTGGTCATTTTGTTTTTATTTTGAATTTATTCATCTAACAAAAGGTATCAAACACCATCCATATTTAGTGCTTTTTCTGGAGTTCCCATATATGACAATAAGGGTCCAAGACTTCTTTAAAATATTGATTTAGATCCTGGACTCATCACTAAGTGTTCTTTTTTGTTAAGAACCTCTTTCACTTAACAAAACACACAGTATAATCAAACTTTTCCTTTTTAACCTATTTCTGTATCCTCCGGTTATTGAAAATCCAAGAAACAGCTTAATTCTTTGTATTATAAATTATAAATTATTTCATTATAAATTATTATAATATCTGTGTATTATAAATTAATTCTTTGTATTTATAAATGATTGGAAATGGGATATAAAATAGTATTTGGAGAAATTTACAGTCAGAAGACCTGAGGTTAAGTGGTTTCTCACCACTTAGTAGCTATGTAACCTACAGCATGTTACTTAACTTCTCCAAACCTATTTCCTCATCTTTATATTTGTAATTCATTTATCAACTCAAAATGTATTCTGTGGTCCAGGTACTTCTAAATGCCAGGTAGACAGATCCTCAGTTCTCAAAACACTTATGTCTAGTAGGAAGGCAGATAAATAGTCATAGTGCAAAGTTTTGAATGTTTTTAATAGAGAGGCAAGGCCCAGGGTATTCCAGTATTATATAGAATGGTGGTGACAAATGGGTACTAAGGAAGTAAAGCTTCTGGGTAAATGATCTAAGTGATTTTCAAGAACTAATCAGACTTAGCCAGGACAAGCAGAGAAGAATGTAGACAGTGTAATACCAACAGAAATAAGAATTTCAAGCAGCAAACAATCTGGGATATCAGATATGACAGAGATACTGAGTGAGAACATGCTGGAAATTGCATTGGATTTATGACTAGGACTTCAGATAGCATCATGATAAGAGAACAACTTGATGAAGAGCTACAAATACTTGTTGGAGAGATATATACAGACAGTGTAAAGAAAATCATTACATAGTCTGGATATAACTATTTTTTATTTATGGCAGGGCAAGGAGTTGCAGGAATTCCAGTTCTGGTGAAAGATAAGTTGAGAAATGATGAACCTTTCTAGTTAGTACAAAGTATCTAACTTTTCTAGTTAGTACAATTTATGAACTGTAAATTGTTATGTACATTGGTAGTTACTATTATTTGTCAAAATGAGGTCTGGCAAAATTGCCAAATTGAAAATCACACCACTAGTTGGGCACTGTGTTGCACATCTGTAATCCTAATAACACAGAGTATGAGGCAGAAGGATCACAAGTTCAAGACCAACCTCAGCAAGTTAGCAAGGCCCTAAGCAACTTAAAAATTAAAGGCCCTAAGCAACTTTCAAAATTAAAAAAAAAAAAGAAGGAAGGTATATACCATATTGTTGCACATACCTTAAAAGGTAGTGACTCTATTCCAGTTAGGTGTGGTAGCATACTGCTGCAATACCAACAACTTGGAAGGCTGAGACAAGAATTTCAAATTTGAGACAGAGTCTTGCTCAGGTACTTAGGACCTTGCTAAATTAAAATTGCTGAAACTGGCCTCAAACTTGTGATCCTCCTTCTTCAGCCTCCTGAGTAACTGGGATTACAGGCATGTACCACTGTGCCTGGCTGTAGTACACTCTTAATGATAATTTTTAATATATGCCATTTGTAGGAAGTAGATTTCTAACATGTTAAGCTTCCTTTCATAAAAATTCAGAGTAGGGATTTCTCTGAGTGTTCCTGTTCAAATAATTCTGAAACGTATTTCTGAGTGTCACTTCTTTTTGAAATAGGTCTAGGTGTAAAGGATAATACTGATAGTGAAAGTTAAAACAGGCATCTGTGAAGTAACAGTAAGTTGGTGAATGAAGAGCTTTAAAGTCAAAGCTCATTCTGGTTTATTTTATAATTTATAATATCGAACAAATAAAAGAAAGCACAAAGTCTTGATCAGAGTTACTAATTATCCCTGAGCAGGGTATGCAGCCTCTGGAGTAATTTCATGTAAAATATAGCTTAACTTAAAATGAAGAGCTTTAAAGTCAAAGTTCATGCTGGTTTATTTTATAATTCATTACTTTGTGTGTAGTCACTAAACCATGACTTTATGCTTTAGGAAGTTCTTTTGCATGTTATCTTTCCATATTTTTTACATGTTACAAAGCACATACATGTTTTGATACTCTTTTTTACAAGATTTTCCATGTGCTAATATGCTGCTGCCTCATTGTTAAAACCCATGGGTAAAGTAATGATATCTTAATTGTGATTTATATTACATACACAAAACTAGTAATACCTCCATTCCCTGCAAACAAAGCAAAATGACTGCATTGTTAGCTGGAGTGGCTTTAAAATAATTTAAGAAGTCCTTGGTTCTCTGTTGCAGGGGGAAAATATCTGAAATAAACAATTATTACTCAGATAATTCTGAAATGTTTCTTTGAATGATTAGTTTACTGTCTCAATTTTTGTCTTGATTATAGGTGAAGTTAAAATGAACTATTTGGGCAAACCATATGTAGCCATGGTTACAACATACCAAATGGCAGTTCTTCTTGCCTTTAACAACAGTGAAACTGTCAGCTATAAAGAGCTTCAAGACAGTACTCAGATGAATGAAAAGGAACTGACAAAAACAATCAAATCATTACTTGATGTGAAAATGATTAACCATGATTCAGAAAAGGTATGTGGTAATGTTCCCCAAAACTTTAAAAACTGCAAAGATCCCATAAAAAAGTGTGAATATTGATACTGCTTAAAGTAAGACTATAATTGTCATTCCTCTTTGTTCTCTGAAATGCACTTGAACTAGCTACATTCCTGCAAGCCCAATATAGTTGTTAACTTAGGAGTCAAGGGAATGCTATGTAAGCTGGTGCCTAGGTCTGTTTTCTGATTTGATTTATTTGTCCTGTACTATAATGTTCTATACTGTAATGTTACTGAAAAATTGTAAAAGAATTGCCATCTATGGGATTCTGATTGAATCCTGTAGTCTAAAATTTTTAAACTGTAGACTGTTATAACTCCTTCTGGTTCTCCTTCCCCCTTATGTGTTCAGTTAATTTAATTTCATGGTTTTGAATCGGAAATGACAGCCTATTGATATATATGTTATATATAGCCTTAACTAGTATGATTCTGTCCCAGGTGCGCTAGTGTATCTTAATGTCAAGACTCAGTTAAAATTAGAATAGAATTGCTTTTTGCTTATTTAACAATTATTTTTCTCTTAATAAATTCAATAATAAATTGAGTTTAGTTCTTCATGCTTGATCATTATTAATTTCAAGTTACTTGCAGTAAACTTATTTTTTTATAAATATATCTTTAAATGTAGGAAGACATCGATGCAGAATCTTCATTTTCATTAAATATGAACTTCAGCAGTAAAAGAACAAAATTTAAAATTACTACATCAATGCAGAAAGATACACCACAGGTAAGTGATTTTTAATGGCATATTGTTTTTTAATGATAAAGCATTGTGTTTTTCTTGTGTGTGTGTGTTTTTTTTTTTTTTTCCTTTTGATACCAGGGATTGGACTCAGGAGTATTTAATCATTGAGCCACATCCCCAGCCCTTTTTTGTTGTTGTTGTTTGCTTGTTTTGAGACAGGGTCTCACTGAGTTCCTTAGTGCCTTCTACGTTGCTGAGGCTGGCTTTGAACTCTCAAATCACTGGGATTATAGGTTGGTGCCACCACACCCAGTTCTAACCTTGGATTTAACAAGTTCAGTTGACCCTGAGATCAAACAAAACTTTGTATCTCAAAACCAATAATAGGATACATCTTTTCTGGTTTATTCTTTGTTCTTTGCATTTATGAATGTACAATCTAACAGAACTCTGTTGGCATTTTTCATTTTTAAAAAGTAGTAATGGTTATCTCGGGGGGCTGAGGCAGAAGGATTGTGAGCTCAAAGCTACCTTTGGCAATTTAGCGAGGTCCTGAGCAACTTATCAAGACCCCTGTCTCTAAATAAAATATTAAAAGGGCTGGAATGTTGCTCAGTGGTGAAGCATCCTCGGTACAAAAAAAAAAAAAAGGTAGTACTAATGGGAAGCTCCAGGGATTAACCACTTATTAACCACTGAGCCACATCCTCAGCCTTTTTTTAAAATTTTGAGATAAGGTCTCACTAAGTTGCTTAGGGCCTAAGTTTCTGAGGTTGGAGGAACTCATTTCTTTCAAAGATATGTTGTCAGGTAGAAAATGTTGCTCAAACTTTGATGCACAATGGGAACTACCTGAGGATCTTGTTAAAATGCAAATTGTGATTGAGTAGGTCTAGAGTGGTGTCCAGATTCCTGGGTGAACCATTGTGAGTAGCTCATGATTGTTTTTTTAAAACTCAGCATTGACTGTTGCTTTCGTCTGGCATAAACTGTTCATATCACTTATTCTCTTGATTGCCTCTTATTTTCAAGCTTTGGACTCAGAATAGGATATAAAGGTCTATAAGATAACAGTCCCTTTGCAGAGAATTCCCATGGTGGAGACACATGATAATTAACGGCCATGAACTTTGAACCTTAAAGTGTTCATGATCCTGTTTTCTTGAAGTCTAATGAATGATTGCCTATGATTCATGGATTGTATTTTATCTTTGCAAGGCTATGATGAGGAGTCTATTGCCGTGTTATGGCCAGCTGCCATGTCTTGCTGCTTCTGTTTCTGTGAACTCCACAGAGATAGCTTCTCTCTGGCCTATCCTTCATGACTGTCCTTGAGCCAAACAGAACCCTACGTAACTCTTTCCCTTGAAACTTGATCCATGTGCACTTGGAGATAATTATTGCATTTGCTACAACTCCATCTGCATTGTGATACAGAGTCTGTAATCGTTGCTAGGACAACATTCTTGAAAAATTATTATTCTTTGTCAGTTAAGTCCTACTTTATTACTTATTGACATTACCATTATAGTTTATAATAATGTAATTTTTTAAATAACCTTCGAATGTGATATATAACCCAGAATAAATGTTTTAGCATTGGTTATGTGATATTGGGCACAGGATATCTGTAATTTGTTACTCATTATTGATTGAAAATTCTTTTAACTTTCTGATAAATTGAATTAAAAACAAGTTCAATGATAGTGGCTCATTTGCTAATTTTTCCTTCTTTGAAACAGGAAATGGAGCAGACTAGAAGTGCTGTGGATGAGGACCGGAAAATGTATCTTCAAGCTGCTATAGTTCGTATCATGAAAGCACGAAAAGTGCTTCGGCACAATGCGCTTATTCAAGAGGTAAGACGGGAAAAGTCCTCAAGACTTCTTAGGTAGAGGATATTGTCAATGTACAGATTAACTCTGCTTCTTCTTAAACATGATACAGACATAACACAATCTCCAGATAGCATAGATTATCAAAGAGATATTGCACTATTTAATGAGAATAGTACTTTCTTAAAATTTTGGTGTTAAATTTGGATTTGCTTTGGCTTGAATTTGGAGATTGAAATTCAAACTCGAAGATCCAGACTTGACAGTTTATTGAGACTTCTTTACAGTTATTAAAGGAAGTTGAATACATCAAATTATCATTCATTTCATGTAAACAACAGTGTTTTACCATGTGATAGAGTGCTGAGCTGGACAATGGGGATGTAGTGCCAAGCAGCTAAGATGTGACAGCACTTATGGAATTCATAATGGAGTAGAAATACATTATTAACAAACAATAAGCAAGTAAATGGAAAACTATATTAATATGCACTGAAAGGAAGACATACAGAACTAGAAGAATTATACAGAGGTCCTGATATATATATATATTATTGTCTCTATTATTGTCTCTATATAAATGGTACACCAGGTACCACTTATATAGAGACATGAAATTCCATTTGCTGGAATTATCATGGTGGCTCACACCTGTAATTCCAGCAACTCAGGAGCTGTGGCAGGAGGATCATAAGTTCAAGACCAGCCTCAGCAATTTAGCAAGACTCTAAATAAGTGAGACCCTGTCTCAAAACAAAAGTAGTTTTGAGCACCCCTTGGTTCAATCCCCAGTACCAAAAAAGTCCTGATATAGGGGATGTTGGAGAAAACTTTCTAGATAAAGTGATGTTTTGAGCAGAAAACAGAAAATGGAGTTAAATGGAAGTGTGAGGATGTGTATGAGTGTTTAGATAGATTACTTAGTTTATGGTTTCATTTAATTATGCATAAACATTATTAAATTTTGTTTTGTTCTATACCATAATTCTTTCACAATGTAAACATTACAGTTTTTTTCCTTACTTTGAGTAAAAATTCTTTTCAACTGGCATGTCAAAACTGGCAGATCTGATTACTCTTTCCCTGTACACTGCCTTGCTTTGCTTAAAAAATTTAATATTGAGCATGTGTGTGGTGGTAGATGCCTGTAATCCTAGCTATTCCAGAGACTGAGGCAACAGGATTGCAAGTTCAGGGCTAGCCTCGTCTCAAAATTTAAAAAAAAAATTAAAAGGGCTGGGTATATAGCTCAGTGGTAGAGCACTCCTGGTTTTAATCTATAGTACCACAAAAAAATAAATAGAATTTAATATTGTTCATGCAACTTACTTATTTCCCCTATGAAGTCTATTTTGAATGATTTTATTCAGTTTAATTAATATAAGCTGAATATAATATTGGTTAATATAACCCAAGTTAAGTCTGTTTGTTAAAATCTCAGTAAACTTGAGAAAGCTTACTTCTAATTGTTTAAAAATATTTATTGATAGCTGGTTCATTCGTGGTAGTTTGACTTCCATGTCTCTCTTAACACAGGTGATTAGCCAGTCAAGAGCTAGGTTTAATCCAAGTATCAGCATGATTAAGAAATGTATTGAAGTTCTGATAGACAAACAATACATTGAACGCAGCCAAGCGTCCGCAGATGAATACAGTTACGTCGCGTGATGTTGCTCTCCTCCAGTGTGGGTGTGAGAAGATCATTGCCATCACCATTCGGTGTGTTCCTGTGGGAAAAAGCAGGCCTGTGCCTCCATAATTTGGTCATTTGGCAGCCCCTGTTTTTCTGCTGTTTACAACATCACCAGTGCCACGTCATGAGCGTCAAAAGAAAATGCCTAGAGATATTTCAAGCTCATGTCATTATGACATTTCTTAAAACTTTTAAAAGAATGAGTGAAGTATTGCTGAAATGTGGAAATTTGGTTGGGTACCATGCTTTCTCTCCCCTTCACGTTTGCAGTTGATGTGTTTTTTTTTTTTAATGTATCTTAAAGGACATAAAATAAAAACTTAAATATTGTAATATGACAGATAACATAATAATTGTATCTACATTAAAATGACAAACATGATATTGCTGCTTGTCAAATAAAAAAAAATAAAGAAATAGAATGCCTTTTTTTTATGTGGTTGGAGTATCAAGATGGCCACAAAATAATATGTATCTATATAAAAATATTGATGAGTGATGCAAGCATCTAAAGCAGCTTTGTGTTTTTATCTCAATGGTTTAATTTACTTTCATTAACTCCTCCATGAAAAATGTCTAAAATTATTGCATTCAGCATTAAAAAAATGCTTTATTTTTATGGATTTAGACCTGCATTGGATATGAACATTTTGAATATGGAAGACATAATTCCATCAGCAGCTTCTAGTGATATGCTTATACCACGGACACATGTATGAGTAGTATGTAGTGACATCAACCTGGTATAAACGGAGCCTTTCATTTACATTTGTCATACTACTGTTTTTATAACACACTAATTATAATATAGAATAATATCTCAGTTTTGCCTTCCCTGAGTTGTAGGAGACCCTCTGATAATAATCTATTCCTTCCATTTCCCTCTACCTGGTATACTATATCCACTCCTGTAAATCACACTTTGCCTTGCAGTGCATAACCTAAATAACCTTTCTTAAAAAACAAATCTATTTGGTACATTATGCCAGGTACATCAGGTACCACTTATATATATATATGAGACATGAAATTCTATTTTGTTTATTATAAATTAGTGGGAATATTAAAATACTTTGGTATATTGTCATATTTAAATTCTATCTGCCCCTGGCCCCCACAACATATAGTTTTGTAAAGCTGGACTATTTTAAAGAATATCCCATACAAATCATTTTCACTTTTAATACTTCAGTTTGTATGGCTAACAGATAAGGCAGGTCTTTTAAAAAATAACCACAGTTATATTATTACAAATAAACAGGAATTATTTAGAGTCACCTCACATGTGGTTTGATCATATTTAAATTTCTCTTGTTGAAAAATGACTTTTACAATTGGTTTATTTGATTACACTTTTTCTGACTTGTGTTAAGTGTTTTAAAAATCATCTGGTCATGGTGGCACAGTCCTGTAATCCCAGTGGCTCAGGAGGCTGAGACAGGTGAATCTTGAGTTCAAAGCCAACCTCCACAAAAACAAGGTACTAAGCAACTCAGTGAGACCCTGTCTCTAAATAAAATATAACATAGGGCTTGGGGTATGGCTCAGTGGTTAAGTGGCCCTGAGTTTAATCCCCCTAAAAAAATCAACTGAAAATTACTTATCAAGTGTATTTCTCTTACCTTTCTTCCTAGAGAGGAAATAGTGGCAAACTCTATAATATTGCACATTTACTGTCAAAACCCAAAATGCTTGTTTTGAGAACTTGTAAGTTTTCCAATTGGTTCCTTTTTCTCTTAGACACTTATAAAGGTTAAATTAAGACTTACCCTGGTATCTAATTGTCAAGAAAATATATCATATTTAAAAAATGGACAAAATAGTTGTACTAAGGTCTACATAAAAGACAAAGTTTTCTTCATATTTTCTCCCCTTTTTACTTAAAAAGAAACCTATTACACACATACATGAAGAAGAGGACAAATACATTCAACCAAGTCACTATCCAGAAAGGGAGCAATATTTAGAATTTATTTTTGCACACACTTTCCCTAAGGAGAATGTAGACAGAGTTGCAGTCTCATCACATTAACTCAAGCAACTGAAATATCACTGTAGCTCGGGGTGCAAACCTGGGAGGCCCTGCTGTACAACGCTGAGTGCTTGTGGGAGAAACTGGTAAGCTATGAAAAAGAAAGAGGAGGTAGGAAGAGGGTTTTCTTATGCTTTTTAAAAAATTGTTCTAGTTAGTTATACATGACAATAGAATGCATTTTGAGACTTCATACATAAGTGGACTATAACTTCTCATTCTTCTGGTTGTACATGATGTGGAATCACACCAGTCATGTAATCATATGTGTACATAGGGTAATAATGTTTAATTTATTCTGCTATCCTTCCTACCTCTTTGCCCCCTCTTCTCACTTTACTCTCCTCTCCTAATCCAAAGTGCCTCTGTTTTTCTCTAGTCCCCTGTTGAGAGCCACAGCTGAAGGGGCCCCAGCAAACTTCCAGCTGCCAGCTGATGATTGGCTCACAGCGGCCCCAGCAAACTTCTAGATGCCAACTGATTGGCTCCTCTGCGGTGAAGCTCATTGGGCTGTTTCCCCGCCCTTTCAGACCACGGAGCTGCTCATTGGGGGACTTTTTTTGGCTCTGCCCATGAGACCCAGCCAATCAGCCTCAAGAGCAGGAGGGGTGGGGGAGGTGGAGAGGCTTGTGGGAAGCTGGTGGTGGCAGTTGGGCTCTGAAGGTTTTCCTGAAGAGCTGTGTGGTGCGGTGTGTGTGTTCAAAAAATAAAGTTCGTTTCTTTTGACAAGTGGCACCTGAATTATGCCCAGTCAGACTGCGGCATTCCCCTCCCCCCTTATTATGAATTAGCATCTGCATATCAGAGAAAACATTCAGCCTTTGGCTTATTTCACTTAGCATGAAGTTCTCCAGCTCCATCCATTTACTGACAAATGCCATAATTTGATTCTTCTTTCAGGCTGAGTAATATTCCATTATGTGTATATACCATATTTTCTTCATCCATTCATTTGTTGAAGGGCATGTAGGTTGATTCCAAAGTTTAGCTATTGTGAATTGAACTGCTATAAACATTGACGTGGCTATATCTCTGTAGTATGCTGATTTTAAGTCCTTTGGGTATAAACCAAGGAGTAGGATAGCTGGATCCAATGGTGGGTCCTTTCAAAGTTTTCTGAGGAATCTCCATACTGCTTTCCATAGTGGTTGCACCTATTTGCAGCCCCACCAGCAATGTATGAGTATACATTTTCCGCCACATCCTCGCCAACATTTATTTTGCTTCTTTTCTCTATAATTGTCATTCTGACTGGAGTGAGTTGGAATCTCAGTGTAATTTTGATTTGCATTTCTCTAATTGCTAGAGATATTGAACATTTTTTCGTATATTTGTTCATCAATTGTATTTCTTCTTCTATGAACTGTCTCTTCAGTTCCTTAGCCCACTTATTGATTGGGTTATTTGGTTTTTGTGTGTGTGTGTGTGTGTGTGTGTGTGTGTTGAGTTTTTTGAGTTCTTTATATATTCTGGAGATGAATGCTGTATTGAAGGTGTATATGGTAAAGATTTTTTCCTATTCTATAGGCTCTCTCTTCAAGTTCTTGATTGTTTCCTTTGTTGTGAAGAAGCTTTTTAATTTGATACCATCCCATTTACTGATTTTACTTCCTGTGCTTTAGGAGTCTTGGTAAGGAAGTTAGTTCCTAAGCTGACATGGTAAGGATTTGGGCCTACCTTTTCTTCTGTTAGGCACAGAGTCTCTCTGTTCTAGTGCTTAAGTCTTTGATCCACTTTGAGTTGAGTTTTGTGCTGGGTGAGAGGGGTTTAATTTCATCTTGTTACATATGTAATTCCAGTTTTCCCAGCACCATTTGTTGAAGAGGCTATCTTTTCTCCAATGAATGTTTTTGGCACCTTTGTCTAGTTTGAGAAATGTATTTATGTGGGTTTGTCTCTGTGTCTTCTATGTACCATTGGTTTTCATGCCTCTTTTGGTGCCCCTACCATGCTGTTTTGTTACTAGTGTTCTGTAGTATAGTTTATGGTCCATTATTGTGATGCCTCCTGCCACACTGTTCTTGCTATGGATCGCTTTGGCTATTCTGGGTCTCTCATTTTTCCAAATGAATTTCACGATTGCTTTTTCTGGTTCTATGAAGAATGTCATTGGGATTTTAATAGGAATTGCATTAAATCTATATAATACTTTTGGTAGTAGGGCCATTTTGACAATGTTAATTCTGCCTATCCAAGAGCATGGGAGGTCGTTCCATCTTCTAAATTCTCTGTTTCTTTCTTTTCACCTCTTTTGTTAGATTGATTCCCAAGTATTTTATTTTATTTGAGTCTATTGTGAATGAGGTAGTTTTCCTAATTTCTCTTTCAGTAGATTGATTACTGGTGTATAGGAACGGGTTTGACTTATGGATGTTAATTTTTATCCTGCTACTTTGCTGAATTCATTTATTCTAGAATTTTTCTGGTGGAAATTTTTTTTTTTTTTTTGTACTGGGGATTGAACCCAGGGGCACCTAACCACTGAGCCATATCCCCAGCCATTTTTTGTATTTTATTTAGAGACAGGGTATCACTGAGTTACTTAGTAGCTCCTCCTGCCTCAGCCTTCCAAGCCTCTAGGATTTCAGGTGTACACCACCGTGTCCAACTCTGGTGGAATTTTTTGAATCTTCTAAATATAGAATCATATTGTCGGCAAATAGTGATAGTTTAGTTCTTCTTTTCCTATTCATATTCCTTTAATTTCTTTCGTCTAATTGCTCTGGCTAATTCTAGGATTATGTTGAATAGATGTGGTGATATGGGCATGCCTGTCTTGTTCCAGTTTTTAGAGGGAATGCTTTTAATTTTTCTCTGTTTAGAATGATGTTGGCCTTGGGTTTAACATAGATAGCCTTTACAATGTTTAAGTATGTTTCTACTTTCTTTAGTTTTTCTAGTGTTTTGAAAATGAAGGGGTGCTGTATTTTGTCAAATGCTTTTTCTGCATGTTTATAGATGATCATATGATTCTTGTCTTTAAGTCTGTTGATGTGATGAATTACATTTATTGATTTCTGTATGTTGAACCAACCTTGCATCCTGGGATGAACTCCGCTTGATCAAGGTACACTATCTTTTAAAAATGTTTTAGTATGCAGTTTGCCAGAATATTATTGAAAATTTTTGCACATCTGTTTATCAGGGATATTGGTCTGAAATTTTCTTGATACATGTCTGTCTGGTTTTGGTATCTGGGTGATACTAGCCTCTTAGAATGAGTTTGGAAGGGTTCCCTCCTTTTCTATTTTATGGAATAATTTGAGGAGTATTAATGTTAATTCCTCTTTGAAGGTCTTGTAGAACTTGGCTGAGAATCTGTCTGGTCCTGGGCTTTTTTTAGTTGGTAGGCTTTTCATGGCATCTTCTATTTCTTTGCTTGAAATTGATCTGT